GGCAATTTTTACCAGTGGATAAGAGCAACATCCCCTGAATGTGTCCCTCTTTAGTCATGCCCAGTACCTGAAGGGAATGGGAACATTCTATTGCCAGAAAGTTTTACTATTAGACAATCATGAATACACACAATCTAGAAACTGGTCCAAAACTTTATTTTTCTTTTGAACCTCCTTTCAGTCCACCCAAGGTTGAAAATATTCAATCCCATTTCCCTCCTTCTTCTCATACCTCACATTTCCTTTGGTTTGTTTGTTGTTTTGTTTTGTTTTGTACCAGGGTTTGAACCCAGGGGTGCTTAACCACTGAGCCACATCCCCAGCCCTGTTTTTATTTATTTTGAGACAAGATCTCACGAAATTGCTCAGGTCCTCACTAAATTACTGACACTGGCTTTGAACTTGTGATCCTCCTACCTCAGCCTACACCCCCAGCCCTTCTGATGTTTTGTTACCCAGGCTGGCCTTAAACTTGAAATCCTCCTGCCTCAGCCTCCCAAGTAGCTAGGATTACAGTTTTGTGCACCACCACACCTGATAACTATGATGTCTTGAATAACAGGTCATGCACGCATTGAGTCTGAGCCTCTGGGGACATGGGTGGGAGAAGCCAGACTACATGTTTGTGTTGGCTGGTTATTGCCCCTGTTAATAAAGAGAGAGAGATTGTGAGGCAAGCTGAGATGGAAGGAAATATAATTAGGGATGCTTTCTTTCCACACAGGCTGTAATCTTTAAAAGGACAAAATCTGCTGATGTGGGGCATCACAGGGCTTCAAGCACAACTACTTCTGCACTCCCAAAGTGAAGTAGTGACACAAGGTGGCTCTGGGGAAACAGTCACAGCAAGAAAGATATTAGGTCTTTCTGAACAGTTGCCCACTTCGTCTTCTCTTCTAGACTGTGAGAGTCCACCTAGCAACAAGGATACTTGCCTTCTCTCTTGTGTTAGTCTGCTTTCTGTTACTATAGCATAATACCTGAGTTTGGGAACTTTATAAAGAAAATGTGTTCATTTAGCTCTCTGTTCTTCAAACCATAGTACTTCCAAGCCTACTGGGGTTTTTTTAAGTATATTTAGATTGGATTTATTTTTATTTTTTATTTTTATGTGGTACTGAGCATCAAACCCAGGGCCTCACACGTGCTCTACCACTGAGCCTGGGAAGGTTTGTCATGCTTGAATGAGATTCATGTGTTATTTGGGATTAATTGGTTTCATATGCTAATCCTGCTTTTAACTATTCAAGATAAATCTTGCATTTCAAACTGGATGGAGCGAATGAGTAGATCATTAGGCTACATCCCTTGGAGAAGAGCGTTCTCTGTGTGAGTAGCTGAAGTGACAGAGTCTGCACAAGTGGTTACAGTGACACCAGTCCTTCTGGCCCGACTGGTTTAGGAGGTGCTTTCGGATCTGTTAGAGCCGAGCTATCTATAAAACACATAAATCCTTCTCTTGCTAACAGGAACTGCCTTTTAGAGCACACTTCTATTTTAGTTTATTTTTTCATTGTGGCAAAATACATACCCTAACATAAATTCTGTCGTCTTACCTAGTTTTAATCATTCAGCTCAGCAGCATTAAGTATACCGAGTACATTGCTATTTGTGTGGCCCTCACCACCATCCAGCTGCAGGACTTTTTCATCTTGCAACACTGAAACTCTCTACTCATTAAAAGCTCCCTCCCCAGCCCTTCCACCCACAGGCCCCGGGCAACTGCTCCCCTGTCTGTCTCTCTGGGTTTGTCTACTCTGAGTACCTGTACAGGTGGACTCCTTCAATGTTTGTTCTTTTGTGACTGGCTTATTTCACTTAGCATAATATCCACATTGTGTCTGACTTTTCTTCCTTGTAAGGCTGAATTGTATCCCACCACACGGATCACCACGTTTGGACATTCGTTTATCCATTCTTCCACCGATGGACTCTTGGGTTGCTCCCCACTCCCCCTATTGACTGATGAATAATCTGCTACCAACATGGGTGTACAAAAGTCTCCTTGAGAACTTGCTTTCAATTCTTTTGCACATATACCCAGGAGTTGAGTTGCTAGATCAGGTAGATGTGCTAATACTTTTTTTTTTTTTTTTTTTTGTATCAGGGATTGAACCCAGAGGTGCTTAACCACTTGAGCCACATCCCCGGCCCTTTTTATATTTTATTTATATACAGGGTCTC